CGGCCAGGTCTAACTTTAGCCCGTCTGGAGCGGCCAGGTCTAACTTTAGCCCGTCTGGAGCGGCCAGGGCTACCTACACATTAAAAACTCATGAAATTAAAAAAAGAACTGGTTTCTTTCCTTTGAACCAGTCCTGTTCTCTTCTTCTCAACGGTTCAGACCCAAACCCACCTTCTTGGTGAAGACGTCCTGGTTGTTCTGGATGTGTTTGTACCACACAGACTTGAGGATGGAGGCGAAGGGAGTCACTCCGATTCCTGCTCCCACCAGCATCACCACCTCGTAGCGGAACACGTCCTCGCTGGCCGTACCAAAAGGCCCGTCTATGGCAACCCTGAATGCCAAAAAAAAAAATCATTTTTATGCAAATTAAGTTGAGATAAACAACTTTTATTCATTAGCTTTCAGTCGTTTGGTTTGATGAACATCTCAACCTCAATAGATTTCTTTTTCTTCTTTTTTTTTTGCTCTCTCCAGTCTGGGAATCTAATTTTTTGTTCATATCAGCTCCTTATAACCTTCTTAAACCAAACTAAGGACTGTTTCAGTGTCACTTATTGTCCCATGACTCGCATTCAGAGTAATGTTTCTAGTGCAGCTCCATTTAAATCTTTCATTTCCTTCATTAAATTTTCATCTCCTGTGGTAGGGGAGGGTTTACTTGTAATTGTTACATCTACTATAAATCTACAACTTTGCACGATGAATAAAGAGAAGAACTCATAAATAAATAGGGCAATAATGACATCCAAATGGAAAAATGTCTGAAAATATGCACGATAATGGATGTTTGCACTTTTATAAAGTAATTAACCCTTTAACACCCACACTTTTATTGGTTGTGCACAAACATACTTCATCGTAAAAATGCCATTGGCCAGTAAAATGATATTCTAAATCCCACATGCTTGTGATTTATCTCATTTAAAGAGTAAGACCTTCTAGATTCTGGAAATATGTGTACAGACTCTGTAGGTTTTATACAAACCAGATCTCTGTGACTTCAAACATGTCCAAAAAAAAATGCAATTTTTATTATGTTATATCTTTTGCCTAATTTAAAGTTGAAGTTCATATCTTTGGACATAAGCATTGTGAAACTATGACTCTTAATGTATGTAAAAAGGTCCATTTGGCACAATTACACTGCAAAAATTTTTAATTTATATTCATTTTCTGCATTTTTTTTTAATCGAGGAGGTGAGACAATTTGCCAATGGAATTTAAAATAAGAAAACACCTTTGCCTTGTCCTATTTCAAGTGCATATTATCTAATTATCTTATTTTAAGAGTAAAAATACTCATTCAGATCATCTCATTTACCTGCTTAAATTAAGGATAATTACACTTAATTTAAGGCATTTTTGCTCATTTCTAGATTGTTTTTACAGTGTGTGCCAAATTCGAACCAAATGTAAAATGTACACTGGCAAAAACGATCTAGAAATAAGTAAAAATTTCAAAAATTAGGTGTATTTAACCTTAATTTAGTAGTTAAATTAGATATTTGACAATAAAATGAGTATTGTTACTCTTAAAATAAGATAATTAGATAAAATGCACTTGAAATTAGACAATGCAATTGTTTTTTTCTTATTTTAAGTGTAAAATTGTCTTGTTCCGTTGGCAAAATGTCTCTTTTATCTCCTCAATCCAAGAACAAATGCACTGATTTTAAGAAAAAAAAAAAAGACTTATCTAGATTTCGATTTTTTTTCCAAGGTAAAAAGTACAGATACTGGGCGTTTGATGTTAAGTAATTAAAGTAATAATGAAAAATCTTCAGCAGCCTGTAAAGATCTTCTAGTAAACTTTCTTTAACTGCAATATTCTTAATATGTACCATTAATATTTGATCCTTTTGGATTTTGGGTAATTTTGAATGGAGTGAAAAACTTTAATCAGTGTTTTATTAAACAATATGTTTAAATTTAAAACTACATAAGTCATTTTCTCTTAAAATAAGTGCATTTTTTATTGAATTGAGGAGGTTAAACGGATACTTTGCCAATGGAAAAATAAAATTTACATTTAAAATAAGAAAACTATTGCATTGTCTTATTTCAAGTGCATGTTATCTAATTATCTTATTTTAAGAGTAAAAATCCTCATTCCATTGGCAAACTACTCAAATTAAGGGTAAATACACTTAATTTAGGACATTTTTTACTTATTTCTAGATAATTTTTCCAGTGTAGTTAGTATATAGTATATATCTTAAAGCAGCCTGAAATGCGTCATGTGAAAGCTCCAACCTGCACCATTAGATGATCCGATCACTGCTGCGTTTCTATGGTTTCTATGGCTTCATATTAGAAACGAGGAGAGACAGAAACGCACAATAACCCGGCAGCAGCTTTGAATGCGGCTCCTTTTGTCGGCCTCACAAAGCCCTGCTTGATCAGAGGAGCAGCGATCAAAGCTGAAGCGATTTCCCGCCGTTTGCTCTAATATCAGCACTATTTTCCCAGCTTCATACTTGGGCAATTTCCAGGCCTCCTGCTGCTCTGGTTTATCTCCTCCGCAGGCCTCGTACAGCGCCTGAGTCCAGTCCCCGACGATGCGGATGTGGGCGCTGAAGTAGTCCTCCTCCGGGGCGGAGGTCAGGGTGAAGGGGTGCCACTCCAGCCTGGACACGGAGGGGCACTGGATGAAGACGTACTGTCCCACCTCCATTTTAAAGCCCTTCTTCTTCATCTGCAGCTCCAGGGTCTTGGAGGGGTGCATCACCACCTGCGGAGCAGTGAAAGAGGGACACGTTGTGTTCTATGAACCGGTTGGTCACGAGTCTGATTAATGTCAGGTCCTTGTGATTAAAAATTCAGTTCAGTTTATTTCTATAGTGTCAATTCACAACGAATGTCATCTCAGGTCACTTTGCAGATGTGTCTAGTAGTTCCCATTGATTTAGCTTGGAAAGCGGGGAGAATGGCGCTAGGCTTACCGCACCGTGACGTCACTGCCGGAAGACGGCTGGAGAGAGGTGTTGCTATATTTGGGCAAAAATGGCCGCTTTTGGACTCACTGATTAACGCTAAATTCATTAAATCACTGTGAATGTATTAGTTTTAGG